CCCCTAAGCCTCTGGCCTGTACCCCAGTTCTGTATGCACAATAAATAAATCTTTAAAAAAAAAAAAGGATTTCTGATAGCAATCCCTACTATAAAGTCATTAAAACATGGTGATATGAAATAAATGGGGGGAAATGATCTACTTCAGATAGAACAGTTAAGAGAAAGTTTTTCTAGGTGATACTAATTGCCTGGAGCCTGAAAATGGGATGTCAACCTTGCAAAGAACAGATATACGGTGTTTTACATAAAAATAATAAGCTCTACAAAGAACTTAGCCTGTTTTGGGTAACAGAAAGAAGTCTGAGTCTGACTACAGCAAAGACTAGAAGAAACCTTGAAGCTACAACTAAGAATGTGAAGTTGATTTCTTAATATACTAAGGAGTCACAGGAGGGGGGCCTCCCTAGTGGCATAAGGGGTTAAGACACAGCATTATGAAGCTATCCCCAGCCACTGCAGCACAAGTTCCATCTCCAGGCCAGGAGGTGACCCACATGGCATGGCAGAGCTCTCCTGTCTCACCTACTGCTCCAGTCAGCAGGGTATTTAACTACATCTGCCTATTCTGCTCCCCACTGTCTGCATAAACCCAGGCTCTTGTGTGCATAAATAAATAAATATTTTATAAAAAAAAAAAGTCACAGGAGGATTTTAAGTAAGGAAATGACATGACTGACTACATTCTTCCTCCAGATGTGATGCTCATTGTTCACACCTTCATCTTCCTTCAGAGCTTCATAAAAGTCAACTTCCGAGGACACCTTCCCTAGCTACCCTACCAGAAACTGTTAACTTTTTAGCACTTAATCACATTTAACATCTTACTTCTCTTATTTATCATCAGACTCCACTGCTAGAATATAAACTCCAGGAGGGCAGTGGGGGAGTCTGGTCTGTTCCCTGCTCTGTTCCCGGTGCCTACAATGGCACCCAACACATGGCGGATGACAATCTACTAGATGTATAAAATGGAGGTTTTAAAATGTCCCTTTGTTTGCTGGGTACACATTAACTGCAGGAGAACACAACAGGAATGTGAGGGAGTTTAATGTGATGATTCAGGCAAGAAGTAATAAACTAGGGTGATGACACATAGAGTTTGGGGAGGTACTTTGGAGGGAGAGCTGACAGTTGGATCACGTTAACCTCACACATTAGAATTAGGAAGTAGGGACATGATCACTGTTTCTGCCTGAGCAATGGGATGCCAGTCAGGACAGAGAAGATTCTAAACTTGAACCTTGCAGGAGAGGAAGTTATGGAGACTGGTACTGCTTCCTCTGCAGTGAGGAACACTCAGAGTGTCCCTGTTAACACTTTAGGTATAGACAAGTCACGTCACCCAGGACCAAGACGACCAGACCCAGAGCACTGGGTATCTCAGGACCAAGATACCCAGAGTCATGAAACAGGATTAGAAAAAAGAAAATTATTAGGCCCCTCTGGGTGTGCACCAGGTTAAAGCAGAGCACTGTGAAGCTGGCTACTTCAGCGAGAAGCAAGTTCCATGCGCTGCCCGGGAGCTGACCCACATGGCGCAGCAGACCTCTCGCTTTGAACTTCATCCACCTGCCTGTTCTGCTCCCCCCTCTGTCTCTGCTGAATCCTCTCATCGCTCCTGTACCTCTGGCTTGTACCCCAGTTCCATATGCATAATAAATAAATGTTAGAAAAAGAAAATCAAGACACAGGTTTTAAAAAGATTGAGACCTGAAAGTAAGACACATTTCAAACGCCACACCCTGCCCCGAACCGCTATCAGACTTGTCATTAAGCGAGGTATCAGGTCTAAAGTCAACGTCTGAACCTCCTGCTCTGTCCCTCCAGCAGGGAAGCAGACATCAATCTCATCGCCTCTTGTGGGGCGCCTGGCAGACCCTAGTGGAAGCACGGCTGCACCCCTTCCAAGCTCTGTGACTTGGACCTCTCAGCTGTTCCGTGAAAGCGTTACCTGGGGCTGAGTGTGCACCCAGAATGTGCTGGGAACGGAGCGCTGACTGCCGCCGTGCCTCCACCAGAGTCGCCGTTACCATGACCCGGCGTGACCAGCGCTTCGGGGACGCGGCCAGGGCGCAGTCCAGACACCTACCCCGAACCGGAACGGCCGGCGCAGCCCCGGTCCACAAAGCGGCTGAGACGCAGGGGGGGCCCGGCCCAAGCCAGGGGGAGGGAGACCTCGACTCTGAGGAAACGTCACCCCGAGAAAGTACGGGCCCACGCACAGTTTGGATGAAATGGCCCCGCAAACTTTCCCACACGCGTCCCTCAACCGACACAGCCCACTCCCGGGAGCCGCACAGCCCGCCCAGGCCGCCGGGCGGTTCCGAGTCCGTTACTCGCCGGGAAGGCTCCCGAGGGGGCGGGCGGCTCCAGTCCCAGGCGACGTCTGGGGGCCGAGGGGCGGCGGGTCCGCTCCTGGGGGCCTTGGCCTGAAGG